CACACTTGACTCTACCACACTTGACTCTACGACACTTGACTCTACGACACTTGACTTTACCACACTTGACTCTACGACACTCTCTTTAGACTCTCTATAGACTCTCTATAGCCGACACTCATGGCCCCAAAACTCATGGCTAATGATGCTTTCGGGCCACTCGTCTTCTAGTGGCATATGTTTTCTGTTCTTGACACCGCACTGCAGGTACTTCACCCACAAAGATTCCGGAGACGGAATGTTGAAGTAGCACCAAGCAATGGCGGAAGTTTGCTGCTGAGTGACCTCGGTGTCCAGTGACGGATCTTCATGGCCGGGGATTGTCTAAGGAGCATGTGACAAGTATCTGATTCAGCCTTGACCCCAGTGGCATCTGGCGGATTGATACGATTTGTATTCTTGACCCAGCGCTTTGTTTATACTTGCCGACAGAGAAGGCAACTGCCAGTCGCAGTTGTGTGCATGGCACGATCAGACGCGTCATGAAGACTTGCTATGGGCTTCTCACAGTGCTGAAAATGTCGTGAAGTGCTTTTCTCACTTCTTTCGCCCGGCAGCAACGCTGAGAGCAGGCACCTGTTTCCCAACTTAGGACCGTCCCTTGCTTTGCGCTGGGTGCTTGGCTGTCTGGTCAGACGTAAACCTTTGCCCAAATGGACAGGCTCCTGGCACCTCTGAGGCCCAACACCGCTGGACAGGACTGTGACATTGGAATGTGGTCGCTATGGGCTTGTGTGAGAAATGAGAATCTCACGCTTTTGGCGGGTGGAGCTCTGAGGCAATGGAGCGACTGCTCGAAGCCGCTTATCTGCCAGGGGATCGCAGGAGCGGCGGGGAAGCTCAAACCACGCTCTGAGGACCTGCGGCGGTGGCCAGATGTCTCGCAAGAGGCAGCTCGTGCCTGCCTTACTGTCAGGGTGTCAAGGCCACGAAGCATGCAATGCGCCACAGTGCCACAGCACGGAGGGTTCTTTTGCGCCTGCACACCGAGTTGAAGCCGAACACAGAGGGTGGCTTCTGCCATCACGCTGTCCTGAACTGACTTTTTCAGTTCTTCGTGACTTTGCCAGCTTTGGCGAAGCCTCTATCACTTTGCTGTACAGGTCCTCCAACAAGCAGAGCCTTGTGGGCCAGGGTCCCAGGGTGCCCGGGCCGGCGCTCGACCAGGACAAGTACACTGCTATCTTGCAAAGGACAGATGACTGCAGATCTCCGGCGCCCAATGACTGCATCTTTGAGCATTGGGGAGCATGGCTCCTGTCTTAAACGATGGTTCCGTGATTCCGTGTCGTGGAAGGCCATGTTGTCGATTTGGCACAGAGACATGTCTATTTCCACGTTGTTCCACGTTTCAGAATGCCAGGATCTCCTCCCGCGTTTAGGATCTGGGTTTGGGGCATGCACAAGACATGGTCACCAGATCACTGGTCCTGGAGGGAGAATGTTGGACTGCCAGTCGTGTCAATATTCTTTTGCTTTTGTTTCATGTTGTGCTAAAATCATTGAGGTCAGACTGTGATGCGCTCTGTGGCAAGGGCACTCGCGAGCGGACGAGGAAGGCCGTCGGTAGGTAATTCTGTGGCCATCAATGCTTCTTGCTGCTTACTGGTCTATGCGTGTAGTTGCAGAACGAGTAAGCTCCAGACACCTGTTGGGGTTGGGCGTCATCGGAGTGTCTCGATTTGACAGCGGTTCGCGTCGCACCAGGGCCGCTCAGGTAAAATATGATCCTGTGGGCCCAAAGCACTGGACTGACAGTACCATGTTTGTCTGTTGTGGCAGCAGTGACAATGCTGCACTCCTCTTGTAACGAAGAGCACCATCATGCCATGGAGGGGCGCATTTCCGAACCGAGACAATGCTCCAATTGTAGCAGTAAATATGATTCGAAATTGTTGATTCCTAGCTTTTGAGCATTTCTAGGTTGAAGGATTGACCGCCCTATGTGAGAACTGCTCCATCTTGAGCGGCTCTCGTGGCCATTCGTCGAAGTATGAGCTTGGGCGTCGAAATCATGGGTCCCTTAGGTTGCATTCCCGATGCAAGCAACACAAAAGTAGGCAGCAGATGAGTTTATGTCGAACGACTTCCAGGCTAGCTTATGCATTCAAGGCTTACGCTGCTGCAGAGAGCAGAATCAGAGGTCCCAGATTCCTAGATTGGAGGGAAGCAGAACAAACCAATGAGGGCCACGACACACCGCCGCGGCCCCCGTATTCTCATCGCGGCTTTTGCAAGCATTCTGTGAGTGGTGTGCTCTGCATGAGACATCACACAAGACCTTCCGCTTGTGCAGATAGCTGTCTTCGCAACCGGCGATGGGCGGGGCTGTTGCAGTCTTGGTTGCATGCGGTGGCACGTTGCAGCTTGCAAGCCAGAGCTCTGAGGTGAAGGGGCCACCCAGCAGCTGTCAGAGTGTGAGCTGCAGACCTGCGAGGCTTTTCAACGTGGCTGAGCGTTGTCGCTGCATTGAGAGTCAGAGTGAGTAGAGCGTGGAGCCCACGATTCTGAGAGCCTTCAGTCAGGGGAAGTTCGGAGCATTGGGGCGATAAAGGTTTATTTGTCGTGTGTCAATGTCGACGACTTTGCAGCGGAAGACAGACAGGGCCGATGCGTAGCTAGACCATCATGCACGACGAGAGAGACGAGCGACGGCTTTCATTTGTGTCATTTCACCATTGTACAGAACGAGATACCCCTTTGCAGTAATTTATTTGTCAGAACTCGCTCAACTAGGTGAACGAGATAAAGGCCCCGCGTAAAGCGAGATCAAGTATGTTTATGACACGATGCATTCTTATCTGAAGTCGAAGCTGAAAGTGATGTTTGTGCGGCATGATTCTATCATAGACACTGCTGGCACTCTTGTGTTCTGACAGAGATGTTTGGAAGGGCTTCGGTTAGGTGTTCTGTCATAGACGCATCTTTCATCTGTTGTGTCCTGCACATTTGATTGAGGGGGGTTGTATGTAATAGTTAGTCATAGGCAAATCTTTCCCACGGCACGATGTAGAGTCACGGTCATTTTGTGTGTGATATAGTCGGATCGAAACAAGATAGAAAACGAGATCAAAACGAGATCCAAAATATTGACTGAGTCGGCCCTTTAAGCCCATGGCCCCTTCACCACCAACACCACCACCACGACCACTACTCCTCCTCCTCCTACTCCTCCTGCTGCTGCTGCTGCTACTACGAGTACTTGTTGTATTCTGGTAATAACATTACGGCTGGTTTAGCTGAAGCAGCGACAGCGACAGCAGCTGAGAAAAACATCGGTTTCCCGAATGACAGATTATGGATGAAAATACACAATACTCATAAGCGGAGATGGTTGCAAGATTGAAGCATCAGCTGCTAAAGATACTCGAACGAGATCGAGCGACAAACGAGATCGTGGCAAACTTTAATAAACGCAGCGGTTCAGATAGTGAGTACCTAACATCTCGCACAGCGTCCATCAGAGGAGAAGGAGAGGAAACCAACGGCGAAAGGAGATAACTAACAGGCATGAACGTGCGGAAAAACATGAAATGAATCCTAACCGCCGACATTTGTGTCCTGGAGTGGTCATGGGTTAAGTTGTTGCCTTTGCGGATGCCGCGTGTTGGAGCAGGACAGCCGCTGCAATCCACAGTGCCTGAAACAGCTAAGTGCACATCTCTCCAGGCACAGAAATGTCACCGGCCTAGTGAATCGGCGTGCCAAGCAGACGGAGGAGCTCCTGGAACGTCGACGGGGTTGAACTCCCAGCTTGTCACGTTCCTGGGTGTCGCAGTGCGCGCCTGCTCCAGGATCCCTGCCGTCACTGCCAAGAGGCTGTCAGTACAAGTGATTACTGCTTCGTTGACATCTGGTGACAACGCCTGCATCAACATCACCTTCTACCAGCACGCGTGGCCCGAGCTACAACACTGTATCCTCCCATACCGCGCCCATCTTTGCATCGCTGCAATCAGCCCCGCCGCCGGTGTGCGTACCAACACGACTGCTCCCATCAATCGAGCGTGATGTAACAGCCGGCACCACAAGTTTTGCCACAGCATGTGTATTACCACTGTAGCAAGCAATGCTCCAAATCATGCCTGCAGTGACGCTGCGGTGCAGCAAACCTCGCACCTGTCAGCAAAAAGCCGGCCGAGCTTCGTGACAGTCGCGCGTGAATGCAGGACGTCCTGGAGAATCACTCACGGCACGCTCACGAAGCGTCTCCCTCTCCATCACGGTCCGGTCGCGTCAGTCAACAGCTGCAGATTTCCCGATGTGAGTTGGATCAAACGCCGTCATGTCGAACGTGGACCACTTGTGATGGACATATCACGCGGCAACCTCGAAAATGCCGTGACCAAACCAGGATTGGCACTGACTCTGGCCTTACCAAACGGACACCATCAAAACCTTCAGAGTGAAGACGTCGAAAGGAGGAAAGACCCTGCGTCAGAGTGGTATCGTTCCGTATTGAAGCGTGGCTTTTGCGTTGTTTTTCATATCGCACCGAAGCTCTTGTTCGGATGCAGGCCACAGTGCCAGTGCAATGCAAACACGACAACAGTTTGAGGGTGCGTGTCATCGCATTGATGTGTTGGGCAACTCCAGATCTTTACCGGAGCTTCCGGCTAGACATCGCATTCTGCGAAATACCGAGCGATGAAGGAGAGTGTCCTGGTCCTGAGTCCTGAGCTCAAGCGCACACTATTGACGATGGAAAGCGATGCTCAAGAGAGAGATCGTGCAAAACCACGAATGGACAAAACAAATGCCTTGCATCTCTGGAGTTCAGCTTGAATGAACCCACAAAGAGGAATGACAAGTTGAATTCTTCTCTTTCAACTGCTGAGGCTGAGACTTCTCTTCGCGATGCAGAGGGTCGAGGTGAGGGGCTTCGCCGTCCGATACGATTCTTCGAGGAGGCGCAACTGCATACTGAGATGATGAATCGTGAGTCATGAGATCTATTCGAGACGGTTTCGCGCGCTATCTAGGCTCTGGAAGGACTGGCTCTGAGAAATATCAGATCGTGCAGGTGATCGAGCAGGAGTGCGAGAAGAGGTATGACAGAAGAAAAACGAAGGACGAGGAACCGTCGTTTGCGAAAGCAACGTCAAAAATGGGAGGAGCGTCTTGACATCCTGTTGCGGAGGAACTCGAAGAGTCAGCTGTCAACAGGAGCTACGATCGTGTCTATGTGATCACGATGTCAGAATGCGTCCTTTGCGATATTCCGGAGCCAACCTGAGTTGATTCCAGGCTCGAGTCTCCCACGGTTCGGACATGAACTTGAGGAACCTGGCTAGTAGATACAACTGTGTGAGATCAACCTGTCGCGAGCGATGCTTTGCTTCCCAAAACTGTTGCTTCAAGTTCGATTCCAGTTTATACAGGGAAAGAAAGGAAGTAACTTGTAAAAACATGACTTGGTGACCTGTGCTCCGCAGGCCTCAAGAATCGACGCAGAAACCGAGTGCCTGTAGAAGCAGGAGGCAACACACATCGTCTCTCCATGCAGTCGGTACTTTTGACGTCAACCCGATCCACGGTGCATTCAGGATGGGCTGTAACTCCCGGGTAATCGCTGATTCTAATGCAAATCTTTCAGTCTCATCTGGAACCTGCTGAATACCTTGTCCTGTGGGTCCGATGTACAACCGAGCTGCATAGTGACCCACGTGAGTGGTCCGAGCGTAAGCTGCTGATTCCTGAATGTGCCATTCTCATGAGTAGTCAACAGGAACATGACTGATCTGAAAAGTAGTGGAAGCTTGCTGTAGAAGTTATTGGAAAAGAAACCTCTCGGAGATCGAATTGTTTGTACAAAAAGTTCGGCACGTACCCGAAGAATCGATCCAAGATGCGATGTTGTAAAAGCTGAAAGAGTGCAGGTAGAATCAACGAAAACCATCGGAAAAAGCATGAAGAAAACGGACCAACTGGGCGCAGGGCCCTGTTTTAACAGATTGCCTGGTGCTGCGTCGCGCTTTGGTCTGTGCTGATGGTGTGAGTCACTCCTGGCCTTCACATAGCATGCTGCCACCAACGTGCTCAGGCCCTTCTCTCCTAACTGAAGGGCTGTGTGGACAGGGAGTCCCCAAAACACTGCGTCTAATGCTGGCCGGTTCCCTGCGTCAATGCGGTGCAAGGCCGCAATCAGCTTATCGCTGGCTGTCCGGACCTGTTTCATCCTGTCTCTGCCAACCTTGTTGGTGATCCAACTGTGGATGGTGGCAATGTTGAGATTGTCAAGCTTGCATTCGCCCAAGATCAACTCGCCCTCGGTGTGTTCATAACTTTGAACTGCCGCAAAAGGATTTGCAAACTCCTCATGGGTTCTCTCCTGGTGAGAAATCCCTCGGTGATGGTGGTGGAAGGGTCTCGAGTTCTTCGCCGAGTTCACCATCATTGACCTGAAGCGCTTCATCGTCCTGTGCTTCGGTGCTGGGTGCCAGCATTCTTCCAGGCTCCTGGTGTTCGCCTCAGCGGCCTTTTTGGAAGCCTTATCCTTAGCACGTCGATAGGAAGGTGGTGTGGCAGTAATCCTGAAGGAGTGCGAAGGAAAGCTTTGCTGGCTGCATCATTTTTTGGAGTAGCAGCTGCCGTCCGGGTCTTTGCTTCTTTGCTGAGGCCTGCTTGGGGTAGCCGTTCTGGAACGGGGAGCCGGAGAAGAGGCAGCTTGTGAACTCTTCAGCTTCGCGTTCTCTCCCTGCAGAACTCGCATCTGATCGAGCATTGCTTGATTGGCTGATGCAGGTCCTGTTTGTTGAACAACCTGAACCAATTCAATCACAAGGTCTTTGAGTTGTCCCATAAATAGGGATCCTGCACTGGAAACTTGGATTCGGCCCTTTGGGTCAATGTCCCGTTGAGATCGACAGCGTTCCCTCATCGCCTCTCAAGGCACACATCAATGTCCCTGCCATGATTGCATCCTGACGAGACTTAAAAGACTCACGCAGTATTACAGTATGCCGACCATTTGCAAGCGATCGTAGGCCCCAATTGTTGGGTCCTCCGGTCATCACCTGTGACAAACGAGCATCCAAGATGTCCATGCCATCAATCTGTAGCTCCCTGGTGAATCGATTGGGAATGACCTGTCTTGGCAGCGTGAGACCATAGTCATACTGCGTGTTAGTAGGTTGCCAACCCTGTGGAAGCTGAGGTAGCCGTGGTGGTGTAGTTCCCTGCCACCTGCTGGGTCGTGGCCCAGATCGGCTGCGAAGTCGAGGCTGCCTGATTCGTTCCTTGCTGTCGCTGCGAGAACGTGAATCGTCCCGGCGAGGCATGTTGACTACCTATCACAGCTGTGCACATGATCCCTTCAGCTCCACCTGTGGTCGTTCCATATGCCAAATTCAACGTGTGCCGATGAACTGTCGGGTCATCAGGCTTGGTCGAGAAAGGCTTGCTGAGATGATGCTGCCAGTACACCTGATGCTTAGACTTAGACTCTGCGAAAGTCACACGGCTGAACAGATCCTCTTTGTTGCCTGTGGAGCTCTGCATGAGATTTGCCATGAAAGTCCACTCCATGACTGGTGGATCATGAACTTTAGCTTCATGGTACAGGCGGCTAAGGATCCTGGCATTCCTTTTCACCACATCGGATGGATCAATCCGACCGACCAACTTAACCGACTGCTCTGTTTTGAGTGAGTCTGGGATCCGCTGCGTATCTCGGTGATAGATTCCAGGAACTGGCAGCTTGCACTTGACCCTGCGGAGAGGGACTAACAGGATCGTCCCAACCATGTTTCTGCCGTCTACCTGCAGACTTTGGTTTGCTCCCTGCTGATTCCGAAGGGCTTTCGGAGAACTCTGAGAATCCGAAATGCCTCAGCCATGTAGCCATCTAATAGTCTAAAGCACCTCCCATCTGATCTGTATTCCCTTGGGGAAGACCCGAAGCAGGAACCGAAGCAGGAGTTTCCTGAGACTGAGTACGTGCTTGTGTTCCAATGGAGACTGGCGCTTTTGTAGCAGTAGGCAGCTGACGCTGTCTGCGTTTTCGCTTCGAAGTCCTTTTTGTCCTGGCCTTTGGTTGGTCACGAGCCTGGCTCCAAAACCTCTGCAACTGAGGAAGAGGATATCGGTGAAGGGGGAGTCCTGGCTCTTTCTCGATCCAGGAAAGCCTGATGTCCATGCCCGTTGCTGGCCCTTGGTCTCCCGCATAGGAATATTTTGACCTGCAGCCCAATCATCAGTGTCTTGAGCTGTATCACTTCTGAAAGGAGAAGCCACCTCGGTCATGAGACTAGGGTTCTGTAACCCGGTGTACTTCAGGGCTACTTGCCAGTGCTGGTGTTGCACCGGACCTGGAGCGGTTCTCGGACCTGAACTTGAGAACCGATGTTCACGTTCTCATTCCTGCATGTTCATGGAATTGCACACTGTGGGTGGTACCTGATGAGAGAGAGAGAGAGAGAAAAAAATGATGCAACAACCTCGCTCCGGGGCTTGGTCAGCTCGTACCAGTCTTGCTCGACACTGTTACATGGTTATTCCCATCCTCATGTGGGAACGGGCAGTGCCCAGGTCGGGCTTGTGCATGGCGACGAAACCGACACAGGAGAAACATGGTTGAAAAATACTAAAGGCTTCATGCCACTACCTGTGTCCATTACCTTAGTGTTTGGAACCTGTGCAGGCAACCGCAGCCCTGAGCTGCGAAATCATCAATCATTCAGACTCTCAGCAGCTCAATCTATGTCACAGACACGAAACGGCTTCACTCTGCACATTGCAGGTACATCGACTTGGCGTCCTAAATCGATATCACACGAAAGCAGAAAAGTCTTCGTTGGTGCCAGGCTTCTGCAATCACCTGGTACCCCCTGCGGCTGTGCTTCCTGTACTGTCTCTAGAAACCTTTATCTGAGACTCAGGGCTCACACACATACACACACACACACACACGCGTGTGTGCGTGTTTTGTGTTTTGCATTCCGATCGCTTGATTGTGTGAGAGAGTGAGACGACACGCCTTGCTTTTCGCGGGCATTTTGTGTGTTGGAACGCACCCCTGCACTGCACAAAGAGGGCCTTTGGGCATGTCGTATGATCATGTCTCATGATTGATGTGTTTTGCTTCTCTTTCCGATCTTTATGATTATCGACGGGCAAATCGTATCGATGAGCTTCCGATCTGTTATGTTTCTGGGTGCCGCAGTGCACAGCTGGAGGTAATCTCCCCACTTCCGACTGCAGGAACCTCACTCAACGAGGGTTTCCGAAACACGTCATGTCTGTCCCTGGAACTCTTTAGTGTGGAACGATAGCACAGGCTGTTTACACGATGCAAGGACCGTCAGGGCATTGCAGGAAGCAGGCACCCTGCTGCTTGCCTGATTGATGTACTGCACAGTGATAAATGGCATACACAACATATGCAACCCTGCTTGTGCACTGATGATCCTTGCTTGAACCTTTTCCCACGTAATTTTCACACATGTGCTCGGTGTTTTTATGCACAGTATTGCACACCACACATGGTCACCATCCCAACTTTGCCTTGGCCTTGCGCGCACGCCATCATCTTCATCGAGCACGTTTTTGCTATCATGGTTTACATGACCACGGACATGTGCGGACATCGATGATCACATTTACGCGAACTTCATGTCCAAACCAAGGCTCAACTGTCTGTGTGTGTGTGTATGTGTGTGTGTTTGCACATGTCAAATCTATGTGTAGACTCGACTTGCAAACATTTGCAGTTCCTGGCAAATGAAGCACGGGTTCGACATGCGGAGGTCGTCGACTGCCAGTGGAGCGCAGCGGGCCAAGCCGCTATCAATCGGCTCATCACGTCTTTGTAGCTACCATATGATGTCAACCGATTTAATACTGGACGGGTCGGGGGCATTGAAGATCACATGTCGAACATTGCAGAGGATTTGTCGTGGTTGTGTACTGGCCAATGCTACGCCGTGTTTCATTTGTTGACGGTGCCGTGAACTCCTGTTTCATCCTCCTTTGCAAACTTTGTCATGCCTTTGGTACGGGTGTACCAATTTTGAGTCTTGAATCCAGCGGGTAGGATCATGGGCTTTTCAAACTTGTTTCGACATTGTTAGCTGTCTAGTCCTGGTGTGCTTCTTCGTGTACAGCCATCTTGCTGAGTCTTCAACAAGAACTTTGTCAGAAGCGTGATCGCAAGTGAGGCGACATATAGCTTGACAAGAGGTAGCAGGAACCAATAGCCCCATGAACAAAATTGCTGGCCGCAATGAGGTCACGGGATCAAGCTCTGGCCAGACGGCCGTAAACAGACGGAGATATAACAAAAGAGTCGAGAAAACACGCCAAGACATCAAAAGTCAAGAGCATGCCAGGCGCCGTGAAGCAGACCAGCTTGATGTTTTTCAACGTTTGGGTATAAGATGTCAAGCTTGGGCCTAGTACCAGTGTTAGGGAAAGCCGTTTTGCGCAATGCTGAGGAGTGGTGGGACTGGTCGGTTTGCTCAGCTTCCTGTGATGGAGGAACGAAGCGCAGCAACCTCAGTCCAGATGGTAATCGAAGAGCTATGATGAGCTGCGTGGTTTTTGGGACAGACGCGCAAAGAGTCCCTTTGCAGTCGAGGGCGATGAACAAAGCCCGCAGAATCCAAGCAAAGCTTCGACCTTTGCAGTCCCGAACCGTCTGCGTCAGACAGTGAAAGGTTTACGACTGTGTGCTTAATAAAGTGCTTAAGTAGTTCGAAAACTTCGCTTACTGGTCAGCATGGGTTGAACTCGCCGGCAGCTATCCATCGCGACTGATTGCTGGAATTTTAAGCAGCAGCTGCAAGCATATGCTGCTGAGCTCCTTTCCGCATCAGGTGAATTCAATCCGCCTCCGTTGCACTTCAGTTTTTGTTTGAGTAGTTGCTGTCCGATCAGGATCTAGATTGTCTTCAATCATGCGGATGCTCGCGTGGTCGTCACTGCAGTGTGAACAGGAACCAAAGGTCGTTATGCCCTTCGCATCGACAAAGGCTTGCACAACTGTTCCTTTAATTGTCTGAGAAGTGCAAGAAGCTCCGACCAAGGCTGTTTCTCTTTTGTTTGTATGCGCGACGAAACCGCCTGAACACCTGTGCCGTAGCATATGAATCGTCGTATAGCGTCGTGTCAGGTCACAACATCCATGGGCACAGAGTATCCCCGATTCAACCGTATGTCTCAGGTCGAGAGAGAAATGTGGCGGTGGCACCGCAGCATGGTGGAAGGCCTTGGTGCGCAAAAGATGAATGCAGCTGGCCACAGTGGCTTGCAGTTTGTGCTTCCCCAAAGACAAGAGCCAGATCGCGCCGTCGCCTAAACCAATGCTGATGGATGTTGACGGGCACTAGGTGACTTTTTTCAGATCACTGGAATTCTGAGGCCTTGCAACACGGAGTCCTGTGACGCTGCGTGCTTGGATGGCCTGCGCCTCAACACGATCGCGTGCAAAGTAATTCCGGTAACAGGAAGGCGCCAGCGGTTCTAGAAGTGGATGTTTACTCTGTTGAAGCCACTGGCATGATTAAGCTCTTGGTTTTTGGTTTTTGTTGGGCCTGCAGCAGCTTGGCGAGGGCCTTTGCAAATGGTATGATCCAGTGCGGAGTTCGCCCGGGCTAAGAGCTGCAGTTTGATCTAACGGCACTTCGGGCTTTGAGCTTTGTCCTGCTTGGTGCTGTTTGTCAGCTTCGAATAAATGTCAGTTTCGCCGTCGTATCTCTGTCTGTCTGTCTGTCTGTCCGTCCGTCCGTCCGTCCGTCCGTCCGTCCGTCCGTCCGTCGGTCTGTCCGTCTGTCTGTCTGTCCGTCTGTCTCTCTCTCTCTCTCTCTCTCTCTCTCTCTCCCTCTCTCTCTCTCTCTCCGCCCTCTGTTGATGTTTCCCCTCTCCCAAAGCTCAAACTTGTCTTTAATGGACTGTCGCTCTTTTTCGAGATCAGTCTTGACCTGGACCTGCGAGCACATCCACTGTACCTTCTACTCATCCCCTGAAGTCACATTCGGGGCTCTTCCCGAAGTTGAGATCTTGCTCGACTCTGTCCATGCAGCTTGGCTCCGGCCGTGTCCCTTTTGCGGGTGTCCAACACTTCGACAGCTCTGCTGGTTCGGCGATGGCAAGTAGCGCCTCCACTTCTCAGGCATTTCCTACTTCTGGCTCCAATGAATGAATCTCGAATGTTTTTAGAAGGGGCTCCATTGCACACGATTGGAAGAAAGCGGGTGGACACAGACGTCAAGCAGACGCCTGCAGTGTCAATACAGGATTTGATGTTGGTGGCTCAGCCGTGCCCGGCCGTTTCGCAAGAAGTGGCTTGCGAATTAGTGAGAGGACCGTTTTCATCGCACCATCAACTCTTCGCACATGGTCTCGTCTGCAGCTCTCGTCATTGCTTTGACTTTGGAATGGGCATGGTCACAAACATTGCAACAAGCATCCTTGCCCAGCAGGTGATTCGATCCTGACCATCCTCTTACTCATAGCATTGCTTCAACACCTCTATGGTGCATCCATTAATGATCATCCTGTACACGATGGTCATCGCACGTCGCTCGGCGTTTTGCTTTAACGATGCATGCCAAGCGTGGTGGCGAAGCGGTGGCAAGGACGTATCCACGCTGCAGTCGCAATCTTACTTGTAGGAGCAGTCCAGCACGAAGCCATCAATTGAAAAAGAAACGCTCGCACCATGCGGCAGTGAACGTTAACAGCAAAAGACTCAAGCTTGTCCATTCACAACATGCCCAGTCCCATGTGCTGCAGAGTCTTTTCGCGCTGGCGAGTTGAACAGCACGTCGGCAGCAGCAAAGCGGTGTAGATGCGAAGATGAATGATGGGCACAGTGTCCAGACCAGAGGGGGCCCCTCCGCCCCTGCAGCGTTCAGATTGTGGCCAAACTGACCGGTGGTACCGGTATGATCACACATGAGGGATGTTTCTCATGGAGGCAAGAGTGGTGAACGGGCTTTGGTCTTGGCTTAGGCAACGTCATCCAATGCTGCTCTGCCAGGTGAATGGAGTGAATGGAGTGGTTGGACAGACTGTGCCAGCCCTCGGATTTTTGTTGAATTGTAACCATGGTGCCTGGTCTCGCTGCTCAGTGTTGTGGGCTGCAGGCTCTGCAACATGTGGGACAGCTTACAAGTCTAGACGTCGTGACGTGGCGGTCAGCAGCTCAGAGACGAGGAATTTTTTTATGATTGAAAGTTTGGAGACAAAAGCTATGCAGGTCCAACCCAGCCATTGTGGGAAGCCAGCGGTCGGGTTGCGCGAGGAGTACAAGGTCCGGCTGACAGGTCATTACTTCGTGTGGCTCTGACTTGGCCAGGCTTGCATTGACATGGCCGAATGCAACGTCGTTCAAGACTGCGTCATGGGTGAGTGGAATCACTGGTGTGCTGGCACAGCTTGAGCTTTTGAATCGCTAGGGGGAGAACCGGTTCATGCCATTTAAGCTTGATGCGTGTCGCGACAGGTCACAATGCAGTTGCAGTTGTTTCGGCATCCGGGAACGGAATCGAGTTATCGAGCGATTCGCGACTGAAGGTGGAGAGCCTGAGGCTCAGCTTGGCAAAGTGGAGTGACAGGCTATTGTCATGGTGAAATCTCGTGAGGTCATGCAATGGAACGGTCAAAGAGGTAGTGCCTTGCAACCCTGATGTTGGGCGCGATCTCCGACAGCAAACTTTAGTCCTGGAGGGTTTCGATGGCTAACCTGGCCTTATTGGATAGGTTCTTGGACAATCTCTGATTTTTCGCAGCGTGTTCCCCTGTTCTGCCAAGGAGCCCATCGACCAATGTGGTGCTAACAGGCGGCGACAAGACTGTGCTCGATTCCCAGATTTGGCAAGTTTGCATATCATATGTTCAAGTGAGAGGAGCATGGCGAAGTAAAAGTGGATGTTCAGCCTCGAGGTCATGTCCGACTGGGAGCAGTGGAGCGAGTGTACAGTGCCTTGGCATGTTCCTTGCGTCCTTTTGTCGTATCGACATGGAATCAATAGAAACCATCCTCCAATTGCTTGAAAGGCAAGCTGTGGAGGCGGACAGACCGAACGTTCTCGACACATCGTGCTGTCATCAGCATATGGCGGAACGTACGTGACTCAGCAAGAGCCGCAAAGCCGGTGAGCTTGCATCCAGAGAATTGCTTGTTCAGTCCTTGCAGCGGCGAGCTCGCGGAGATTGATCGATGTAGTGAGCTGGGTTCCCAGCGAGGTCTTCAAGCAACTTTTGGGCAGAGCTGAGCTCGTGAGCTCGTAAAGAGCCATGTCTTCGCTTCAGGGAGCCTTGTCCAGAGAGTGGCTGCCACGACTGTACCTGGGGTGCGGGATCCTCAGACAGTGACTTTCGCAGATCTCTCCGGGTTTGGTAGACTGGCCCTTAGGCGAAGAGCAAGGTGGTAGCTAGGCGAGCATACCCAGGCATGGAGCCACTGGGGCAGTTGCTCCAAATGTGGCGGGCAGAGGCAGACTGCACAGCAGACTTCGATGATGATTCTTCAGGATTTTCGCCACTGCGCTGAATCAAGCAGGTTTCGCTTTCGCAACATCCAGCAGATGCCAAATCATTGCGGAAGGCTGACCTGCCGGAAACTGGCATGCTGCTCGGATTACTGGGAGTGTGCAGCAAGCTAGGCCATGCAAGCCGATGGATGCAAAAGAAGCGGGAGCCTGTCACAGCAAATGTGCCGCATGGCTGCATTCCAGCCTCGGGATGGAAGCTGACACATGCTTCGGCACAGCTATTAGCTCTGAGGAAAATCCTCTCTTCTGTGCTTGGACATACTGGTCAACGCGAGATGGCCAAGCAGCGAGTGAGAGAGAGAGGGACCATGTTTCCTCGCTGGGGGTCAAGACAGGATTCAGCGATTTCCAGTATCATGCCTGTTACAAAGTGCTGCGGTGCTGGCCACTGCTGCTTGAAGACCCCACAGACTTGTTTTCCACTCTGAAACGATGAGGCGGAGACAAGCGGCTGGCGAGAATCAGACAGTTTGTGTGCTTGCTTGACTGAGGTCAGAGTCTTGTGACAAGTGTGGCACTACCAGCACGACACGCAACAGAGCATCAGACTCGGCAGGGAAACGAAGTGCAGCTTCGTGCAGGCGATTGACTTAACTTTTCCAAGCGTGAGGCCCTGGGATTGACTTCCTACTCCACAGACTTTCTCTTCATGGCATCGGATGAGGCATCATGCGCCGTCGCCCCAGCACCTGATCTGGCGCGATCTCCTAGACAGATGTCCTTTACGTTGAGGCCGGGACGCAGCTCAATGTGAGCGCCTGCCCGATCAAAGAGGAGTGTCAGACGCACCTCTCACAGAGCTTGAGCATATCCACAACAAATCACAGATGCGATCAGCATTGAGACACCATGCATAACTTTGTCGGCGTCATGAGGTGTGTTGCTGAGAACTGCGAGTTTGGCGCATGGAGTGAATGGCATGATCCAACATGTTTGGGCAAATCTCTCCTGTGTTGAACCGGGTGTTGCCGATCTTCCCGACGGTCGTCCTCAACACTCCTGTGGCAGGTCTGTGCGAAAGACATCGTGTCATCAGCCAACACAACAACAACTGTGGCGTCGGCTGCACGGGTCGGACAATGCTGGATAAACGATGGCCTGCAACTCTGGAGTCCAAGCCTGGGAGGCCCTACGCTCGAGACGAAGACATGTCCCGTGGTCTGCCAGCAAGAGCAGGCCTGTCAAACGAGAGGTTGTTGTGGCAATGAATGAGACTTCCTCGATGGCCTGGCAGGATTGCAACTTCGGCGATTGGTCTGAGTGGGAAGGGTCCATTTCTCAGTCAGGTGGTCGCACTTTGCGCTTGAACCATCACAAGGTCATGTGTATATAGCAAGCATGTGCACATGTTTTTCTCGCGGCACCGTCACCCGGTGAGGTTTGGAATCGGTGGGATACAATAGGATATTTCATGGACAAGGAGTTCACAAGGTTTGCAAGCTGAATAGTCCGCACGCACTGCTAAACCAAAGGTTTCTGTTGTGCTGGAACAGCCGTGAAGCTCGCCTTGCACCGCGCTCAAAACCTTAAACTTGGGAACGGCATGCGCATGGAAACAAAAAGGCCTGAGCCAGTTCTTTGCTTGGGGTCTACAGACACGTTAGCTCCAGACTCCCTGCTACACCATTTTAATCGCATTGGTAGCGACGCAGGTTGACGTAGTGTCCCGTAGTGCAATCTGATGGCAGCTCCGGCTTTTGATGATGACCTGTTCGACTTGATTGGCGCGGCATTGTCAGAGGACGAGAGCGCCGAGATCGCTTTGCAGACTGACGGCGCTGATGACGGCGATGGCGCGGCGCAAGTTGATCCGGGCGCCGTGGCGAGGACATTCCAAGCCCCGTGCCGTCCCGGAGGAAGCGGGGATCACGAGGCGGGTCCAGCTCCGGGACCCAGTCTGGTGAGAAAAGTTGGCGATCTGGAGCGATTCCTCCTCGACGGCGACGAACAGGCTCTTCGAGCGCTGGAGCAGTTGACCGGGGAGGCTGAGTTGGAGTTTGAAGAGGTGGCCGACGACCGCTTCGACAACGAGAATGGCATACAGTGGCTCCTGGAAGACCTGGAAGCTGCATTTGGCGAGCAGGAGATCTTCAGGCAGGGCGGTGTCATTCGGTGACTTGAGAGCATAGGACGGCTTCAAGGGGTAAAGCGAGACGGTCTTTGTTCGGAGATTTCAGCTTTTGGAGCAGAAATTGCAAGACAGTGGTGTGCCGAGCTACCCCGAGCATCCCCGAGCAAGCCCGCACGATCAAACTTTTGGACGGCTTGAAACTTGACGAGCGTGCTGTTGCCCCGCTACTTTTGGCGGCCGGTAACAAGTACCAGGTGAAGGTCGACCACAGAAGTGGAGCCAGTGGAACATAGATTGGCAGGACGGAGGGTGAGGAAGGCGAGCCAGACGGGGAGGAAATGCACGATGCCCATCAGGGCGAGGATGCGGAGGAGCACGAGCCCAATGAAGAGCCCGACTAAGAGGAGGAGGACGATGAAGAGATGATCTCGGAGAAGGAGACAACGCCGATGCCGGCGATGACGGCGAAGGCTCTGCCTTGATTGCCGCTGCTGAGGCCTTGACCGTGACGTCGGCAGGTCTGGTTCAGTCCCGCGGATACTGCCCGAACGCCGACAGCAAAGGAAAGGAAAGTCCGGGGACAAGGGCAAAGGCAAGCGCAACAAGCCGAAAGGCGAAGGAAAGGGCAAGGGCATGCCGGAAGGCAAAACTTCCTCCAAGAAGGGCCCTGGAAAAGGCGTGAACTGCGCTGCTGATCACAGAACCGACTTCGTGGCTCCCCTCGATGAGGACGCGCGGGAAGGGTGTCTCGTTCGATAGTTCGTGGTTCGGGTCGGTCGGACACACTTGTTCGGTTTCTGACTTGTCGCTCGACCCCATGCTAGAGCGCAAAACATGTTCGTTGTGCGCTCGCATGTTGGCTGCAGATCAGTGAGCTTCGCGAGCGTTCGTGCGTGGAGTGTGTGAGCAAAGCCTTGCACCAGAGTGAGGCAGGATCTGTGTTTCTTCAGGTGCCGCCCAGAGAGTGCAACAGCACGTCACAAATTTGATAGCCCAGTTGAACCTGAGCTCAGGTTCGAGTGCATCCTTTCCTTTGGCAGAAGCTGTAACCGGCTACCAGCCAGCTTGACATTTGAGTTCTAAATCTCCCTGCAACATGGCTGTTTCAGAGTCCGGCGACGCGGATTGCGACGACCATACGACGGATTGGTGTCTTCTCAGTATGCTCGCCTTCTCTCCCCTCTTCTCTCCTTCTGGTCGTCTGTCAGCCGAGCTATCGCCTTCTTCTCTCGTTCGCTCTCCTCCTCTCCCCGGCGACGACGACTGCGACGACCATACACAACACACGCGACACACACAACACACACAACACACACAACACACACACACACGCAGTTAACACACGCAACACACACAACTAACACACACAATTAACACACACAATTAACACACACACACACACACAATTAACACACACAATTAACACACACATCACACACAGCACACACACAACGCATCGCTGTTGTTGTCCAGACTGATCAAGCTTCAACACCAGGAAAGAGGTCGGAAACAAATACTTGTTCATGCTTTCTTGACACAGAAAACAAATGAAGAGAGACATGGCTACTTCAGTTTTCTGGGAGAAACCGTTCGGATAGATCCATTTAAGGCGGTCAACGTGACAGTTTTTCATCCGCCAGGTTCCGATTGGGGACCCCTCTTGCAGACAGCGGCCCCGCTGCATGCCAATGTCGTAACGTCGTGTAGCACCAATCAAATCCCAAGATCGCAGGGTTACTTCGCAAATATTTCGCAACTAGGTGTGGGGTCAGTTGTTAATACCTCCGCCAGACCTCCCGTTTCATAAGGTGTCAGTCAACGATGGGTGGCATTGTCAGGCGAGCTGTTGCTTCTGGTTGTTAGCTGCGTCAGCCTTGATTGCAATGCTGGTCCAGTCTGCAAATGGACCGCAGCAGAGACATTGTAAAGATGCCGATGAATGGTGGCACGCCGCTTTCCCGGAGCACTAGGCCGCAAGGGAAGCTGAATTTTCGCTTTCGGAAGCACGGTTTGAGCACGGAAACCACACCCGTCGCGCCGCCGAGGCCATGCTCTGGAGAGATGACGCAGACCAAAGCCTGCCCGAAGGCCTCGCATGGCCCCGCCACGTCGCGCGGATGATCGGTGTTGCGACAGTGCACCGTTGTGCTCAGATTCCACAAAACTGCATCTTGGGGCCTTGGAGCAGCTGGTCGACCTGCAGCACCAGCCATGCCCTTTCCACGCCCGTGTAGTGTCTGATCATTCTGATCATTCTGTGCTTCTGAGGATGCGTCACCGGATGGCACACTCGAGAACGCGTGGTGTCTTGCAGTAAATTCGACTCGTAGGCGTATGGGTGTATGGACTCTGTGGAGGGATTTTTCTGAGGCCTGTGAACGCTCCGTCCTTGCGCAGTTTTGCTCAGGTAGATCAGCAGGCCAGACACGGGGGTGAGCCATGTGTGCAGTCCCCAGAGCTATCCTGCAAACGTGAGAAGCCGAAGTTTGTGGGGATGCAGTTTACATGGTTTGATGGCCAAGCTCATATCATGGGTTTCGATCCTTCTCTCTCTCTCTCTCATTCAGGACTTTCGCGTTTGTTCGCCTTCCCTAGATGTGCGGCAGGGACATCGAGCTGCGAAGTTCATCATGTTAGCAGACAAACCCAAGGCACCAATCACGATCTAGGAACAGAGCATCATTGCTTGTTAACACATCTTGACGCAGCACCGGCAGCAGATTTGTCCCACTTGCATGGCCTGAAGTTACAGTGACGCTGCAGGACAATTCCTTCTCAATTTGGCAAGGCATTTGGATCCACACCTGATACCGTCCCCGGCGAGAAGGTATTGGGTAAGCTGTCGGATGTCTGCTAGTGATAGTCTGCAGCATATTTGCAAGGTAGCCAGGTCTTCAAGTCTTTCATTTCTATTTGTGATCACCATGGGTGGCCAAAGGCTGGGCCACTCCTGGAGATAGAACCCTGCCCTGGAGACGCGGCCCTAGCGAGACAGAGGGAAGCTAGCCTTTGTAACATGAACATGGCATGAGCTGCGAGGCCGATGAAACATGCAGAGCATCTGGCAAGGAGGATTGCAAGTGGGCGCTGGAGCCTTTGCACGCGAAGAGCTGCAAACCATGTGCACGGCCAAGTGTGATGTCTTCAAAGGTCTTGGGAACAATGGTCCCATTGTGGCCTCGACGGGCAGATGTCCCGGAAGCGAACCATCGCACGCCTGCCATCTGCCGAAGTCTCAGCAGCTGTTGTGCCAAAAGATGTGCGCCTGAGTCAGCCCCGTCTGAGAAGCTTTGGTGGGGGACTTTTCACGGTCTATAATTTGGAGCCTTGGCAATCAAAACTGGCGTCTCTAAGAGAGTGCAGCCCCTCGCACTCCCCGCTCTTCCCGGCTTCCACCTCCAACACTCTGCAGCTCTTCAGCTTCTTTCGGGGAGGCTTTCTGTGCATGCTTTTGCGAGGCAGTAAATGAGGAGACTGCTTTGGGCACCGAGTTCTTTCTCGGGCGCTCCGGTGCGCGCTCATGCCATGTCTGAATAAACATCGTTTCCACACAGCTGCTGTTCGTTGTTGCTGATGGCAGCTGCAGCCTGTTACAGTTCCCTCTGGCTCGCAAAGAAAACAGAGGCACAAGCTGTGCTGTTTTGTTTCGGCTCGCCTGTTTTGGGTTCCTTGAGTTAACATCCAGTCGGTCGGTCTGAGTCTTTGGCAAGCGCGAGTCACGTTGATCCACGTGTTGATTAAGCGATGTCATCCCAACACCAGAAGTCCTTCGGAATTGGTTTGTGAATTGTTTGTGTAAAAGCAAAAGCAGCCAACATCGCCTTAGCGATGCAGGCATTTGGGTGAAAGGGGGGAGGTTTGAACAAGGCTTGATGCACTACCCGTGAAGACCCAGTAGCATGAAGAAGCCTGCTGGCTCTAGTGTGTTGCTGTGCTTCAGCGATGCCGGAGAGTGCCTCAGGTGTTTGGCGAAGCCTGTGCAGGGCCTATTTTGGAGACCGCATCGCCTGATTCCAAGCCTTTCATTTTGCTTATTGCATGCAGTATGTGCATCATAATCAGCCCTGCTGACGCTGCGGGGTGTGTCACCTCTCTCCCTCTCTCCCTCTCTCCCTCTCCTTCCCTCTCTCTCTCTATCTCGCTGTCTGTCTCTCTCTCTCTCTCGCTCTCTCTCTCTCTCTCGCTGTCTCTTTCTCTCTCTCTCTCTCCCCTCTGTCTCTCTCCCTCCCCCTGTCTCTCCCCCTTCCTCGTGCGCTCCGAGGTGTGACAGTGAACGGGTGGACTGCGACGTTTCTCCATGGTCCGCGTGGGTGCGCCGGCATGTCAGCTCCATTCAAGCCACTTTTCCCGCTTTTTGGGTTGGATCAGTTGCAGCCTTTGCTCAAATCGTCACAATCATTCACAGGCACATGCTGCCTATGCGTTGAAGCGGTCAAGGGTCTCGATGTGCTTACGGGGCACGACAGGGGATTCCCTGGCAGGATGCTTGCGACAGATCATGCGATGGCGGGCAGACGCACCGACATCGTGAGGCGACTCCTCCATCCCCTTCCAGAATTGGAAAAGTGCGAAGATTGCGCCCCGTGAGGTGCACCGCTATCCGTCGGGCGGAGGTGCTGATTGTCAGGCGCCCAGCGAGCTGCTGTGTAAACGGCTCAGCAGGACTGGGTTCAGCCCAGCAAGCCGGTTGGGCACAGTGACTGTTCAAACCCAACCAGAAGTAGACAGCATGCATGACAGACAAGCACAGAGGCGAGTAATCGAAATCAGCTCCAGGCCCCAGCATTCTGATAGAGACCAAAGGCGGGAATTGCATGCTGTGTGAACATTTCCTGGGTATTGCAGCTGAGCTCATATTGCCTCGGGCTTGGCGTCATTCAGCCGTTGGGGTTGTCGAAGGTTGTCCGTCACTATCGCTCGAAGTCGTAGCCCACCTCGAAGTTACCGGATCAAGACTGAAGTTCTTATGCGTCACGGGGCTGAGCAAGCGGGCTTCAGAGGCGAGTGCACATCGCATGTGGCGCCTTGGGCCAGGCTGCAATAGCCAATCTTGCAGTGGACACGATTGCCGTGTTTCAGGCCCGCGGGGGCTCAGCTTGAAAAAACCGAACGATCTGAAAGTGGGCGTGGTGGTGGTAGCCATAGCAGTAGCAGTGGCCGCGGAGTTGGCAGCGGCAGCAGCAGTAGCAGGTAGCAAGTAGCAGCGTAGCAGTAGCAGCAGCCCGAGGAGAGGGAGTAATAGTAAGCAGCAAGCACTAGCTAGTAGACAGTAGCACGTGCGAGGTAGTTGTAGTTAGTAGCTGGATAGTCAGTAGCCCGTAGCCAGTAGTCAGTAAATAGCAGTTAGTAGTTAGGAATAAGTAGTTAATAGTCGTAGGTAGTAGGTAGCAGGTAACAGGTAGCAGGCAGCAGGCAGCAGGTAGCAGGTAGCAGAAGTAGTAGTAGTCGTCGTCGTTTTCGTAGTAGTAGTAGTAGTAGTAGTAGTAGTAGTAGTAGTATAGTAGCAGTAGTAGGAGTAGGAGTAGGAGTAGTGAGTAATGTGAGTATTGGGTAGTGAGTAGTGAGTGGTGAGTAGCCGTCGTCGTCGTCGAAGTCGACGTTGTCGTTGTTGTGGTTGTTGTTGTTGGCGTCGTCGTCGTCGTCGTCGTCGTCGTCGTTCGCAGTCGACCCAGTCGTAGTAATGGTCGTAGTAGTAGTAGTAGTAGTAGTAGTAGCAGCCGTCGTCGTCGTCGTCGTCGTCGTCGTTGTGGTCGTCGTCGTAGTAGTAGTAGTAGTAGTAGTAGTAGGCGGAGGAGGAGGAGGAGCAGGAGGAGGAGGAGTGGCAGCGGCAGTAGCAGCGGGAGTAGGAATGACAGTGGCAGTGGCACTGGCAGTGGCAGTAGCAGTGGCAACGGCAGTGGCAGCGGCAGCGGCAGTGGCAGCGGCAGTGGCAGCGGCAGTGGCAGCGGCAGTGGCAGCGGCAGTGGCGGTGGGAGTGGCAGTAGCAGCAGTAGCAGCAGTAGCAGCAGCAGTAGCAGCAGCAGGAGCAGCAGGAGCAGCAGGAGCAGCAGCAGATAGTGGCAGCAGCAACAGGAGCAGCAGCAGCAGCAGCAGTGGCAGCAGGAGCAGCAGCGGCAGCGGCAGCGGCAGCACCGTTGCAGTCGCAGCAGCAGCAGCAGCAGCAGCAGCAGCAGCCGCAGCAGCAGCCGCAGCGTGGGAGAAACCAATTGTTCAGATATGTTTTCATCACAAACTTGGTTGTCCAGCATTTTCGAGTTCATTTTGGAAGTGCAACAACGCGAAAACAAATTGACATTATGTAATACACACCAAGGGTCGATTCGATACATCAACAAGACTCGACTCATCAAAAACAGAGCATCGGCCACTGCAGGAGACTGGGCCCGTGGCTCCGAAGGTGTTTCAAACCTGGAGCAAGGAGCTTTGGATGTTTGCAAAGCAGTAACACTTTCCGGATTTAGCACGCGCTTCCGCTTCCGCTCCCGCTCCCGCTCCGACTCCTGCTCCCGCTACCGCTACTGCGACTACGACTGCGACTGCTGCCGCTACTACTGCTGCTGCTGCTGCTGCTACTACTACTACTACTACTAACCAAGAACGTGGCGGGAATGCAATTCATACTAAGAATATAGTGTATGAGTATCAGCCAACTCCCAACCGATGAATATTTCCAAATCTGAAAGGAAACTGGCTCCATTGTTTGTGGGTTACCTGCGGCAAAGCTGGTGCAACAGTAGCAGTTCGTGTTGTCACGTATAAGCAAAGCCTGCAGAAGACTCGGAGCATGACCCTGTCCAGAATGGGAGTCCTGGGGATTCTGCTCCACGACATGCGGAGTGGGGCAGCGCACGCGCAGTTGTGAACTCAGTTTTAAATCGCAGGTTCCTCTTGTGGTCACATGTGGTCGCGGATGTATTCAAGACTGCTGGATGTGCGCGGCTGCGATGTTATCTGCGTGTATCTCCTTTGTTGCGAGGCCGACAGATTGTCGGCTTGCGTGGTGTTGATGGACATGGCTGTTACGAAGCACTCGGAGAGGTTCAGGTGGATATCCGCAGTCATGGAGTCAGAGCTTTTTGCGGAACCCGGGCCGCGGCCAGGCCTGCTCCAGTCAGGTGGAATGTGCTGAGAGGGACTGTGCCGCAAGCTCAGCCTCGGCCTGGGCGCATCTGGGCGGTCGCACACGCGATGTGCATCGACGTGCCAGGTATGGGGTGAATGGGCTGCCTGGAGCTACTGCTCGCGTTCTTGCGCCAGGGTCTCAGAGGTGAGCGCGATGATGGAAAACTGAAAGCGCTCTGCTGAGGACGGTGGCATTCGGTCTCGAAAGCGGCACGTCCTCAAAGCCCAGGCCTTACGATACAGGAAATCTCTTGGTTTGCACCCGTGCTTTCAAACTGTGCGAAGCATAGGGGCTTAGCGATGGAGTTGGTTCCCACTTGCTTCTGTGCTCCAATCCAAGTGCTGTGTATGTGGCGAGTGAAGAGCAGTCTCGGGCGCAGTCAAGTTTGGGGATCCTTCGCTTCTAGGTCCGCTAGGTCTCTTTTTGATTTCACTGTTTTATCTCAGAGTTTCTCACTGTTCGAAAGGTTTAAAGCAAGCGACTCTGCGAGCATGCCGACGATGCTCAATCGACCGCCTTGCGACTGAATTGCGCATCCCGGACGACGCAAACCAGCATAACCAAGGCCACGAAGACTGCGATCAGTTGATCTCCCAAACATGTTTTCGCTCCTACCCTCATTCTGCTATGCCCATGGGTTCAGCAAGAATTGCACAAATGAAGTCTTAGACTTCACAGATACTTTTCAGGCATCTTGCTTCTTCTGCTTCCATAGTGCACTTGCTTTCACATCCAGGGTGCAGTTGCGCTTGATTTGCGGGCGCCATTGCCGAGCGTGTTAGCCGAACAGTGCTCAGTAGATTCCCGAGCCTCCCTCAGCTCCAAATCTGGTCACCGCTGACATGTTCGCCTTCGGCAAGCTAGCCAGCATGAAGTCTTTGGATTTCCACAGCTGAGAATCAGAAACTGTATCTTTGCAGCTCCTGGGAAGCTCTATGTAAGGACGTCTCAAAACTGCGGCAGAGAGCAAAACGAACAAACTTTCCTCCCACAACAGCAATTTTTTCTCACTGGTCCTGAACACCACATGGAATCCAAATGCGCACGTTTTGGTCCAAAGCCTCAATCTTTAAGCGTGCCTGACATGTTGCTGACTTCGGTCCACCTCGGCAGGCCTGGCCGATGGACAGCGGAGAGAGCGCTCAATGATAGTGAAACGTAACTTCCAGGAGCTTCAACATCGAACCAGCCAGAGTCAGCTAGAGACCTGAATAATGCAGCATAGTGATTGAAGAACGGGGCACGTAAATGCATCTGGTCATGTCGGTCAACACCTGGGACAAACTGTGATAAGATCTCGTCGCTTTTAGCAGCGCAGTGTCCTTGCAGCTCAGGTTCCTTCGAAGCACGGAAGGCCGGTTGAAAGGCCTGTTGTGTTTTCGTGTTCTTTCAGTTTTACCAAGGCAATGTGATGCTGAAATCAAAGAGACCATCGAGCCCTGCAACACCCACACGTCGCCTACTCTGTCGGTAGTGTCCTGCAGCAGCTCAAGACGTTGCAATTTTCTCAGGTGCAGTGCGCCAGACTGCACAGATGGATACTGGAGCCACTGGTCAGCCGGTGCCTGAACTTGGGTGTACTGATTCGCTGAGTGCGACGCATTGCAGACTTTCATTGGGAAAGATGTCGTCAGCCTGTTCGCCATTTTGCTTCGGAGTCTTCCAGGCCTTCAGCTTGACAGGCCACAGAACGACTGGTAGTCAGAGACCAGGGAGGGAAAGATTCGCAAATGAACCAGTATGTAGCGTGATAGGATTCTAGATGCCTGCGGTGTGCACCCCCAAACCTCGTGACAAGGACTGGTCGCCATGTTCCGTCTCCTGTGACAGAGGAACAACTTTCCGAACGTGGGATCCTTGATCGTGGAATGCCAAAAGACCTCCGAACATTGTGCGTGGTCCCTGTGACGTGAGGCGGCAAGTGGCCAAATCTGCAAGTGAATGCGGCACCAGCCTCAGGCAGGTCTTCCGGTGTGTAGAAAGAGAGTCTTTTTGCCAGAGGCGACTTCCCAGCGGGCTTGAGCACCGAAACACGAATCTGTGAAGTTTCTACCGCTTGTGTCGCGCCCTCGAACCTTGCTTCACATCTAGAATGAGTGCAAGTGTGCTGCGTGTGTGAGGTTCCGAACCGTGACTGCGTTTTTGGACTGTCGCTTGGATCTGATTTTAGTGCAAGGTACAAAAAGTGCTGTAATTACCCGCTCTCACCGCTGTCTGCAAGCGACGCAGCCCGCAGCCCCGCTTGGAGCTGAGATGGAGCGCCTGGGGTCCTTGCAGCGATCACTGCGATGGCCCGGAGCTTGGACAAAAGGCAACAGTTGCCAGTTACTGCGTAGTTACATGTACAGCTTTCTGGCATGGAGCACCTGCGCACCTCGTCTTTTCACAGAGCCAGGAAGGGTTTGACATGCCGAATCCCTGTGCAATTCAATGAATTCATGCAGTTGGTAGCGAAGGTTGCATATTCATTGTCCAGTCTTGTAGTTATGCTGCCAAGCTATCTAGATTCGTTTTCAAAAGCTTTGAATGCTGTCAAGCGCGAACAGCTTCCAGAAGTGAAGGAATGCAAGAACGAGCTCGGTCCGCACGGCGCTTAGTCTGTTGCGCTGGATAGTGGACTGTTTGATGCTGCTGATTATCGGATGGTCGAGACAAACAAGGTGAAACACTTTGGTTTGGGACATGGCAGTTGGTGCAGCGGTGCAACGAAAGAGAGTCGAACTCAGGGTCAGGACAGTTGACGAGCGGGAGTCCGCAATGGCTGGACATCTGAAGCTTTGTGCAGTGTTTTTTTGGCTGATTCTGATTCAGGCTGCGTCCGTGCAATCCCAAGTTTGGCCACCATCCGCCACCCGTCCACGGGCATGTTTTGACATGTCGACATATGATGCGTGAATAACAGGTTTGCGTCTGACCGTATTCCAAGAATGCCATGCAGGGCTGTCGGAAGGATCATCCTGTTGATTGCGTCGTTGGCCAGCATTGCTCCAAGTTTTCGTGCCATCGCATGAAACACGAGCAAAAAGGAACGTGTGGAATTGACCAAGGTGGGCGCACTGGAGCAGGCGACACTCCTCGAGTCATGCACCAGAGCTGGCATTCACGTGCTCTTCAGGTGCACGGCAGTTTGTGATGGGGGCGTGCAGAGACGCACTCGCGTGGTTGTGCAACGTCGCACCCTCGGGTCTGGCAGAGGCATGGAAGAGAACGGCACAGAAGGGGCCTGGACAGGCGCATCTCACGGAGGGCGTGGGTGCTTGGCGGCTCTCTCGGAAGTCCACGAGTGCGTGGCCACCCCAGGAAATCCATCTAAGCCCTGACTTCGCAGAGTTCTGCAGTCGTGTTCTGCTGAGAATCGCCACCTCTGCAGCGGTGGAAACTTGCCTGTCGATTGTGAAGTTGGGCAATGGCAAGAGTGGGGCTTGTGCGAAGAGCTTAGAACAGCGAGGGCACATCTGCATGGTTGTGCATGAAGCTATACAGCAGGGTTTGCTTGAGGTAGCAAATGTGATGGAGAAAGATCTCGCTTTCGGACAATCCTGCGTCGCACCCTCAAGCACGACATATGGAGCTTGCTTCTGAGTTATTCTGAGTTGAAGGCTTGTCCAGAACTGGACATCTGTGCTGGCTTTCCAGAACGTAAGTTGGTGTCCTGAATTTAGACGACTGTATATGTTGCTGGAGCAGCCGTCTGGATGTCACTGGGATTGGAAATCCAGTGGCACTGGTCACGCTGGAACCAGACCGACTTTCGACGCTGGGCGAAACACCCGGCCGACCCATGCCGACCCTTGAGAATGCAGAGTGGGGCTCAGGCAGAACAGTGAATAGGGCATGAAATTCGACGACGGCTACTGCTCACCATGAGAAGAAGAGATGCCAACATGATAGCTACGAGGAGGGAAGTGGTCCGGGATGCTGGGAATGTCTTCTGCCGCACACGACAGCGGCAGGCAAATTGAGCAGCAACGGCAGATGCGAATTGGCCTGGATGGGGTTGGCCGTGAGATCAAGTAAGATGAGACATGCTGAACGGCGGAGAGTAAGCGAAGCACATGATAGCTGTAGACAGGTGCAGGAATCTCAAGGCTGACAATGCGTTGGGTGTCAGACTCAGGGGAAAGGAAATCGGGGGTGGAGACATGAGGCGCAAGAACAGGGGGGGGGGCAGGCGATGCTTGCCTTAAGTCACTGACTATGTTTAGGGCATCATCGCCGGCTGCTACTTTACAAGCAAACCACTGGAGACAGCCGACGCCGCTTTGGACCACTGGCAGGTTATGCCTCAAATGGGGGCAGGCCGTGTGACCACATGGCTGTTCGCGAGGCTCAGCTCGGTTGTCCTTGTCTTTGCAAGACATTGCAAAGCTGTACGAGGTGGGCAAATGTCCCAGGTCCTGCAGCAGCTGCTTGGCGGTGGTTGGCTGTGTCTTGACATAGTGGCGTGTTGCCCACGACGCTCAGGCAACTTGTACTGCACATGGGCAGGCTGGCAGGACGATGCAACTGAGACCAAAGCGTTTGAAGTTTCGTTTGAATGTTCGGCACTGACGGCGTGGCTGGGCTACTGGATCTATTCCACTTTGATTTCAAAATGGTTTCATCGGCTGCGACTTCCACATGCTGTGGTGCCTCACCACAGGACTGGGGCGACTGCAGCAAAACATGTGGAAGAGGTGGGTCGCTCCATGTTGCTCTAGTCAGAACCGTCGTGCTGAGTTTGCCCGCGGGTCTGAGGAGGCAAGCGGCGCCGCCGCAGATACTTGCATCTGTCGCATGACGCTGGTGCAGAGCTCTTGCATTGGTCTTAGTCAACAACAGTGAAAGCAGGGCGCAGGGTGGTATTTGGCGTACTCCCAAGGCCTGGAGGTCCGGGTGCCCCTGGCCAAGGCGCTTTAGACGAAGAATCTGTAACAAACTCAACTAAAGCCGGAAAGCTGAGGGTCGACCGAGCACACTGTGAGGTGGAATCCCACCAGGACCTGGGGTGTCGAATGGAGGATATCCGACTCTTCAGGACCCGTACGCGTGGCGGGATTCGCACAGCCGATTCTGAGCAGCTTGGGCCCTTTCTCCGAGGCTTCGCATGTGGCTCTGCATGGAAGACCTGAGTTCCGAGTGCAGGAGCAGCTCGAACCTACGACCACGAGAGAAGCCGCCCCCGCCTTCGTAAACGTACCGCCCACGGTGCACCCGGAGGCAAGGATAGAAAACAGCTCCGGTCGAGCTGGCAAAGTATAGTTCCCAAGCAAAGCGGCCAACAGGAAGCTATATCTTTGGGTGTTGATCCGCGCTTATTTTCTCTCCCTGTATCTGCGTGCGGAATGAAGTTAGGGCCGTCGCTAGTTTTTCGCTCGTGTGGTCAAGACAGCTTGCTGGTGAAATGCAGGGCATGTAAGGTGGAGAGTGTGGTGATGCAGTCAGCTGTTATGCTGCTAGTTCGCAGGTCTCCCCGCTGGCGCCAGTGCCAACTTTGCCGGGCTTGACGGTCCATGCGGTCCATGGCTTACGCACTGCGTCAGTGTCGTCCTTGGTAGGGAGCTTTGCTTCTGGCATTGAAATGATCAGATCTCCGGGGAATATGAAGTCATGGTCCAGAGATCACAGGCCGTGGCAAACGTATATTGCTGCCAAAATGAATGTGAGCGGCAATGAGTGTTCGGTGCGGATCCGTGTGGCGCATCAGGAGCTTGAATCGACTCACGTGAAGGATCTTCTGCTCTCTTTCGTTGGTGGCTTCATGAGCCGGGACCTTGAAGCCGCAAGGAGTCGTCACAGTCGTCTTCAATCTGAGGCATTAGCTTCCTCATAGCCGTGTCCGGAATGGCCAAGTCCTGAGTTGCCCGCCCCTGCACCTGCGGCCGTCTGCGGCCCCGTCCAGAGCTCGCGCTTTTCGAGGCCCGACCCCGGCCGACCTGGCAAAGGTGCAGCCCTCGGCCGAACTAGTTTCGAACATGTAATTCTGAAAGTCGTCTTTTGGTGCCACGATTTCTTCTTCTCGAAACTGGAGTGGTGGCCAGCTATGAAAACATCCCGTTGAGCCAGTATTTAGAGTCGGACACATCACAGGAGTGCTTGCTAGCTTGTGTGGATCATTGATTGGTCCAGAGAAAGGAACTAGGTTTTTGGAAACCCGTCACGTGAAGCCTCACAAAAGTCTTTGCAGCCAAATCAATGTTTTCTTTGACTCCGGTAGAAAATGTCTACTGCCCACGGTCAGCATGGCAATGTGAGCTCCTGTCTAGAGGGCCAGCGGTTTTGCTTTCGCAGTTGGGTCAGGGCTTGAGGGCCGGCTGCATCGTCTCTAGGAATTAATGCTGGCAGGGCCAACTGCTGAAACTCAGCTAGTGGGCTTCGTGAGCATGAGAGAAGACCGTGAAGGTATGCTTTATTTTGGAGGCCTTACTTCTGCACGGTGTGTTGCCAGATAGGGCATTATGAGACGTGTCACGCAGGGGAAGACCACCAGGCAGTTTCATGTGTTCAGCAATTCTCTCAGCTGCAGGCCGGTCAGTGACGGGGCGATGTCTGCTTAGGTTCTACACTCATGACGGGAAGTGTGTTCTATTGATATTGAGACCTCACAGCACTGCGATCGTGATTCTTGCCAGATTCGACACTCCGACCCAGTTTCACCCAGAGAGCTAGCTTCTGGACTAAGTCAAGAGCTTTGACGAAGTGCATCGGGCTGAAGCAGATCAAGATAAGGATTGCCCGGGCTTGGAAGCTTAGACCGGCCATTGGGAGTCTTTTGTGATCTGAATTGGCGTAGTTGCCCCCAGCCAAAGTGCGCGCAAGGCGCCAATGACGCGACCTGTGCAGTGAGGCAAAAGCCAGCGTCAGCTCTAAGCTGCCGTGGGTAGAAAATCTGGGAGAGATGGCGGGCCCGTTTGTGCTGTTGCCGATGTTCGCTTCACCCTGCAGCTTGGCAGACTGCAAGCCAGTTTGCCGGTACCATTTAGGAGTTCGCAGCACCCAACCGTCATGCTATGAGGCTGAATTCATCATGTCAATGCATGCCTGGTGCTTAGCAGCGAGAGTCCAAGTCCCTTTCAAAGCATGGAGCATCGATCAGCCAAAGCCTGTAGCCCTGTAGCGATGTCGCAGCGCTCCTGATTGCAGACTCTTCGTCCGGGTCCATCACGATCACTCATGATCTCGCTCTGTCCAGACATGTACAGAGTCAATTTGGCTCGAAGTGGCTGGTTCGCATGTGGTTGACTTGAAAGTCGTATATGCCAATAGGATCGCGGAAGGAATGGCGGTTCCGGGTGGGAAGTGAAACTTGTGTGGTAGCACGCCTGTGTGAGTGGGCGCAAGCAGCGGTCGACTGCCGAAGCATTCGGCATATTCGGCTCGACAGCCCAAAGGGGTCATTGACGCTGCCGACTTGAACCCCGCCGACTGAGTATCGGGTTCGGGCTGCCTCCAACTCCAACTACCAGCTCTGCGACGCAGTTTTTTCGATTTCTTTCTTTCCCTTTAAATGGCTGCTGCCTCAGACGGCATTGCAAGTGTCAGGGATCCCGCGGAGTCTGCGGGGTGCATCGGCGACGCCAACCTGGATTTCATCGTCGACGGCTCGCCACGTGACCCCGACTCCTCGTCGCGCCCTTCTTCCTCCTTGATGGCAGCCTTGGTACCTGGCAGCTTTGGCCTTCGTAACGCAAAAAATCGGGCAGACGACAAGCGGTACGCTTTTTTGTTCTGGATCGGGAGCCTCGGGAGTGGGGCGACTTCGGCATCTTTGGCGCCCACACAAGCGCGACATCGGCTGCTGCTTTGTGCGCTGCGATGGCCACCGGCTCACGGTCGCACCGTGTCCATCGTTTCAAACCGCGCCCGACAACCAGCGTTTGCGGGTCGTTGATGTCGCCGAATTCAGTTCGCTGTGGCAAAGGTTGGAAGCATGAGAGGGCAGGCCAGCATTGAGTGTCAAACGCATAGCTGGCTTCACCCAGACTTCCCCAGAGCTTATGCCCTGCCCGCGGCCAGCGACTCGCACCTCTGCCACTCCCGACTGGCGACGACCCGCTCAAACAGAAGTACCGTGCTATCAGGAAGCGTCGGCGCGGCAGGCGATTGACCTACGGGACTGGCCGACCTTGTGCACCCTTAGCTGCGCCGCTGCGCTGCGCCGGGAGTCCTTGACAGTAATGTTACGGCGGGTTGTACCCGCCTTCCACTACCATCAGAGTTGGCTGCGGGACCGATTGGCGGGCTGGAGGATATCTGGAGCATCAAAGTGTTGTAAGCTGCATGGGGCTGTAGGTTGCTGCAGAACCCGGAGTCTTGGCTTATCCAACCTTGTTGTTTCTATATGTCGCGGCTGGTCTGTTGGGGTGTTTGCTTCCTCCTGCATCTTATCTCTGCTCGTCCCCCTTGTCTGTGGTTTGGGTAACCGGGGTGCAGGAGAAGCTGTTTTGCCTTGTCCCCTGCTTTGCAGTTGTGTTTTCTTGTTGCAGGATACCTGCTTGTCTGTGCAGTCTATGCTTCCAAAAGTGTTGTGCCAGCTACTGGAAGATTCTACGCTTGCGTACAACCACAAAGCTCAAGTCTTTGAGTCCCATCCGGCTCAAGATCCGTGCGAATGACAGTAGTGTAATGATCAAACGAACTTAACTAAACATCAATCAACCGCATCTGGGCATGAGGAGACTGACACGCAGGATTAAGCCGCAATTCTGCAACGTACGAATGCAACACCGAAGTCGGTAATTTGACACAAGTTGACGGACCACCCCAATCCTCGTTGATTTCTCTACAACCTAAATCACATTAAATCACCTCGGTCGGCTTTCCTGGCCCACAGCCTGGCCAAAGCATGCCAGGCTTGCCGTCCAAATCTTCTTTGGCTGTGACTTGAGTGTGTAGCCTGGTAGGCCGAATGCCGGCCATAAGCCTCCAGCCAGAGGCTCGTGTCCATGTTTGCTTCTGCCTGAGTACGTTGAGCTGGGCCAGATTGACTTTACAATAGCAAACAGGTAGTGTTTTGCCGCCCCCGGCACATAGGGTGCCACTGATTACTGGCTTGGCTAGCCGAGAACCACAGGTTGGCATACTCCACGAGATACATGCCCACATCTTATCCTTATTTATCCACCATCGCTGTTGCCACTCGCTTTTTGGGAGCGTTCTTGTAGGAGCACGTTGAAGTGGCCACCCAGACAAATCGAACCCCTACCCGCATGAAAACGTTCGTTCGTCCCAAGAAGGTTTCGTGGAAACAGCAGATTTGGATTTGCGCTGCAGTGCGTACGGAGGAGCTGCTGGTTTGGAGATGCGAGAAGTCTCAAGGGACCCCGCTGGTCCATTCAGCCGCCTGGCCATGCAGAATTTTTGAATGGGGATTCAGCAGATTGAGTGTGTGCTGGTGGCAACCTGTATCAACACTGCAGGCGGCAGTCTTCACATCGTTCCAAAGTGTTCGTGTCTAAGCATGTTTTCCTTGTCTTGTTGCTCTCAGTTGTTACCTAGAAACCGCTGAGGCCGATGGGCACTGTGAGGAGGGTTTCAGATGCGTGTCTCGAATCTCGAAGTTTGGTCGCTGCCTCGCTGTCAGAGCACCTCCCGCCTCTGATTACAGCTTCGAAAGGTACAGGGCATTGGGGCCAAATAGATCCAGGAAAAGAGAAGATTGCATGGGCCTCGCGATCTGCTTTGCGCCAACCAGGTGCCGTGCCTTTGTGCTGAGGCTGAGGAGGCAGACTCGGCTCCTGTTTACGAATGGGGCTGCCCCTTCCAGGGAGCCCACGTCTCGGCGTAGCGTGTCTTTCGTGGTGCCAAAGGTGCCTTCATGCATGAACGCACCAAGGAGTGGGCCGAAAACAGATATGAAAGTGGTCCTGGAGACGACCAGCCTTCTCCCCAGCCGACATGCCAGCGGCAGAGCAGCATGTTCTCTTTACTATGGCAGGTGCACAGACGAAGGTGATTGCATTTGCATCGCCCGTGGTTCTCCAAACATGCCAGCAGACTGAGCTACACAAGATTTGGGATAGTCTGAGATAGTGCATGCCGGCATTGACTCAACGTGAGGCATACGGAGCTCGAAGGTGGCCATGAGAAGGTCATCGGGCGGTTTGAAACAGAGTCCGGTAAAGCCAATCTGGGTCACGAGCCCCAGCTCATCAACGTGAGCTCCTGAGATCAGGGTGCCACCAGCGCCTCCTTTGGTGGTCTCTCTAAGATTAGCACGTTCGACTCCAGTTCTGTACTGTAGTCTGTTGTTCCAGCAGAGTGCGGCACAATCTGCTTCTTATTGAAGAGCTGCTGGGTCTCGACGTCTACGTCTGCAGGGTCCAGTTGCACGACATTGCGCAAAGATTTGCCTGGGGTGCTTGTCGGCTTAAACTTTCAGTTTGGGTTGAGGGAAGACGATGTATCTGGAAACCCTTTGCCAAAGCATTTTGCAGTTGCCCTTGCTTGCGCAATGGGCTGCTGGAACCACACAACAAGCACGCGCCAACAACGGCACATTCTTGGAGTCCTTCGCTTTGCCAGCCCTTCCTGCATTTAGCCAAAACCGGCCAAACCTGCGCTTAGCAAATAAATGGCCAGACACCGCTGGTTTCTCACCAAAGCTGTGCATTTTGTAAAGCTCTTGCTCTTTTCTAGAGAAGTAGTGACATTGCACGACCCGAGGTTATCCCGCACTACTTCATGCGAACGAAGGATGGCGCGCCGTCCCGATCCCAGAGCGCACTCACAAGAGTGCTTTGAAGTCCTAGCTTTTCAAGGTTCGACATCGAAAACCCACATTCCGGCCTCGGTGTCGTGAAAGAGTTCGATAGGGAAGAGTGGCTGCTCAAGTACAAGGACTGCCCGCAAGGGTCCTGGTGTCAAGATGTGAGCGCAAAGTCCGAAAACAAGGAGGAAGCACCAAAGATTCAAGGTGCTCTTGACAAGCTTCGGGCGTGGCACCCAGTTGCCTGCACGGTTCCTCTGGGCTGGATGTCCTCATTTCTGTAGGCAGCCGTCGATGCAGAGTACCGCAGCAAGGCCGGAGTGCTTCAGAAAGGCTATATACCGCAGCCGTCGGAGGATCCGTGTTTCAGGTGCAGGATGGAGCACCTTTTGTCTGCGATGGCGCTCAACCTCCAGGGGAAGAGCCATCCCTGACGAAAGCCACGGCCCTGCTTTGCCCGCTTTGCTGGCTCTGCTGGGGCTTGGACCGGCCCTTGCTTGGACATCTTGGACCCTTGCCGCCCTTGCCTGAGGCTGAGACGCAGCTGGGGCTTATGCGGGTGCGACGCTTCCAAGTCCTTGCTTCTGACTGCGTTGGAAGCCCCAGGACCCCAGATGCTCGTGTGATCCCGCTCGCAAGTCGCAAGCTGTAAGGTCAACATGCAGGACACAGCTGCAAAACTCGCTGGTAGACCAGAGGAGGCGCGGGGTGGGCAGGCTAGCAGGCCACGCCAGGGGTCTCAGGGCAGGGGTGGCAGTGGCGCCATCGACGATCGTGGCAATCTCCTTGAATTGCTGCACGTGCGCTCGTGTGACGGACAGCGACTCCGTGCGAGCTCGTGTCGAAAGTTTAGTTTTGTCTTGGTTGGGCTTCGCATCGTTATTTGCAGCCGGAAGGAGTCTTTCGCTCCGTCTGGCAAGACAGAGGGCGGTGATGAGCTGAAGTGCTACAGGAAGAAGGAGCAGATGCGTTTGTGTCCGCCCTGCCCTATTTGTTGGCTAGCCTCCATGCAAGCTGCGACCGCCATGGAAGTTAAATCGGATTGAGCTTAGGTTGTTTATTCGGATTTCCATATCATGTGGTGTGATTGGTTTTCCGGGCCCATCATCCCGAGGCACACCTGGTATACGTGATGGCGCTGTTAGTTGCATCGATTCCGAAACCTCGTCTGATCACACGTCTTCGAAAGTGCAGCCATTGGCCTGGAGAGCTAGACGAGGGAGGAATCCACTCCTTGCTTGGCTCTTGCCATGCTCTTGCCAGTTCAGGATTCTGTCGAATGCCAGCAGCTGAACTGCTACCGGGGCTTCGAGGACCAGGGCTTCCTTGATCGGCTTCCAGGCTGCAGACAGAAAACACCGCTTCGCAGCTTCGCAGCTTCGCAGTACGCTAAGCGCGGTTTTTGGTCGAATCCACCAAGGTTGCAGCTCTACAAATCGCAGCTCGACTCTTGCAGCCCAGAGGAGGCGCTAGGGCGGAGCTTGCTTAGCTTTCGCTTGGTCTATGCGTCACTGTCAGGATACCAAGACCGAGATGGAACCAGCGGCTGGAAACAGTGTCAAAGCTCCGAAGACGGAAACGGGTGCTGCTCCAACACCCAAAGAAGGAGATCTGAAGGATAAGGACATGAAGGAGGTGGAGAAGGAGGTCGACAACGAAGCGCAAGCAGAAGCTGCAAAAGAGTCGACGGAAGAAGTTGCAGAAGGACATGCCGTTTTCGCTTGCGCAACCCAACTCGGAAATGCTGGCCCTGTAGGAAAACAGCAGTCTACTCAACCTGCGCTGTTGGGAGCACTGCGCTCGGTAGGGATGGATGTGGGAAACTACCTTCCCCGAGGGTTGTCAAGTTGCACTTGGCAAGGCCGTCTTCCGCCCCCTTGCTTGCTCTCAGAAGGCAGGGGCAGTTTCTAAGCTTCGCAGAAGCTCGAAGCTTGCCTTCTCTGACAGGCTGAAAGCAGATCTCGACGTGCCGACTTCTTGTGATTGTTATGGTCACCATGTCGGGTAACATGCCGTTTGTGTGTGGCAAAGAACCATCTCGGACCAGCTTTATTGAGACTACTTCGCCGGAGATCGATGGTCTCTACAGTCTCCACGTCTCATGTGGAGGCTCGCGAGCTTGGCTGTCAGCGACTGTTTTTGCACCCATGGTGCCCAAAAAGCCTGCGAGCAAAGCGCCTCTCCCTTTTGCTGTAAACTCATCATGCGAAGAAGCCTTTTGTCCGGCGGTCCCGCGTGCCCGATACAGACCATGTGCTCGGAGTTGTTCAGTGCTTCGTTTGGCACAGCCGCTGAGGCTTCTGCTTCTGGCCTTTGTTTGGCATCGGCAGACCTTTGGAATCAAACTGCAGTTTTCTATCGCAACTTCATTCGAAGAAGAATCCCTTTAAACCTGGTTTGTCGGGGTGCGTTTATGGACTGGCCTACCGCTAGCTCGGAGAATCTCGGATTATTCGGCATGCATGACGTGAATGGATGTTAAAGTCGGTTTGAAATCGGACCGGTGAGCTTCAGAGCTAGAGATTTGCTCCGCATGCTCGTCTTCGCTGATATCGCTGACCCAAGATCCTATCAGGCTGAAAGTCGAACTCAGCAAGGGTGCACAGATGGTATCTTCCGTTACGGCAACTTCAGCAAGGGTTTTGCAGGCGGATGTGATGCATGGAGCAAGTCACGAAACTAGGTCTTGTGATGCGACCCTGGGCTAACACGTTGCAGTGTGCATGAACGTGTTGCAGCCTGACTTGGCCGACATCGCTATGCTGCTCTGGCTCAGTCAGCAGACCATGCGAAGAAGCGGCTGTTGCAGAATCAGGGCCGTGCGGGTGCGAAGCCTGTCAATGAACCCTGGAGACGCAAAATGGACTTTCTCACCCTTTCGAAAGCCGCTTCAAGACTTCATTCAGATTTTTCGCGAGCCGATTTTTCGACTGATCTTCGCCGCCATGGCCCTGGAAGCAGCTGTTCGTGCTACCGGATTGAACAAGGCGTGAGCCTTGGGATCGTTTGCAAGATTTCAGAAACTTTCTTGTGGCATCTTGCTCGTTTCTACACAGTGCCTGCCAGTCGTTGCTAGTTAAAAAGCATCAGAGCTTTCAGATGGTTTTTGAGACATACGGCATATGTTGAATTGGTCACGAATTTGAGCGGTGGATGAGTTGGCGTGCGCAGTACAAGCTTGTCTTCCTCGGGGAACAAGCTGTGGGCAAGACTTCCGCCTGGCCCTCGGCCTTGTGATCTCACTTACAGGTTTGGGGATCCCATAATATTTCGATTGCATCTGTCGTGCATCAGGTCATTACCCGTTTCATGTATGATACTTTTGACAACAACTACCAGGCTCGGTTAATTCGGCAGCAGCAGGAGTTGGCATGAAGCTCAAAGATTTGCCTTTTCCTTAGGTTCGTTTTGGCATGTGCATCTCGAATGAGAGTGCGTGCCAAATACTCGGATTGTCGTTTTGGCCTCTCAGAGGCAACGATTGGCATCGATTTTTTGAGCAAGACCATGTATCTGGAGGCGGTACCTGATTGTTTCGGCGAACGAGTCTGTTGGAATTGTGAGGGCCACAAGCTGCAGGATCGAACAGTCCGGTTGCAGCTGTGGGACACCGCGGGCCAGGCACGGGTGAAGAGACTGAGGATTAAAGCAATGCCCGTGCTAGCTCTTGCCGATTCCGGAATTGAAGGAACGCTTTCGCAGCTTGATTCCCAGCTACATCCGCGATTCTTCAGGTGCCATTGTCGTGCCGATCCCAACGTGTAGGGGGTTGCTACTGGCTGATTGTTGAATGGTTCTGGAGTGGCCACACCATGTTGGAATCAAGGTCTACGATATCACAAATCGCGCTTCATTCCTCAACACCTCCAAGTGGATTGAGGATAGGCATGACCTCTGTAGAATAAAGAGAGCCAGTCTCGAGCATGCAGGATGTCCGCAGCGAGAGGGGGAACGATGTCGTAATCATTCTTGTTGGCAACAAGACGGGGCCTCAGCTGAGAAAGCGTTGGCGGTATTGCTACATATTGCTACAAGTTGGATGTCGAAGGACTGACTTGGCAGACCGACGGCAAGTCTCCACAGAAGAGGGCGAGGAAAAGGCCAAGGCACGAAGCTCCTTGGACAAAGCTGGTCTGCATTGAGCCGAGCGGCTCCAGGAGAATGGCGTCATGTTCATCGAGACGAGTGCAAAGGCAGGCCTCCGGTTCGCAGTGAACAGCAGACGTAGACAGAGATCCAAACCCAAGCCGAGAACGAGAGACAGACTTCGGGACACAGACACTCAGCACCCCTGATGTTTCCAATCATAAGATGCCGTACGAGGGCGTTGCGACAAAGTCGCACTTGAGCATGCCTCTGGCCTTAAGGGTTCTGAAAAGCAGTCTGCCATCACCTGTGTCATTGATCCCCAAATGCCAACTCCTCAGGTGCATCAAGGGTCATAGAGGCTCCAGAGCCCTGCGCTTGCTTGGAATCGCGTCCGCAAGCCCAGAAGGTCAACTTTCAGATTTAAACAGTTAAAGAAAGACCAGCAGGCAGACAAAGCCGGAAAGAGATGGACAGCCGCAACGAAAACAACACGAAGAAAAGTAGAGACGAAAAACGACGGAGCGTTGAGATCCTGACGGTGTAATCGATCGACGTTTACAGTCTCGGCCATTCGAAGATAGAGCACCTGAGCACCGAAGAGAGCATGGGTTTCAGCAACGGACTTGCGCTCCTCCGTGGCCGTCAGCCTTTTTTGTTCAACGAATCGGAAGCCTTCCATCCTGTCAGATGGGTACGAACATCAAGGGCCTCTTTCGACAACTGGCGCAGGCTTTGCCTGGGCAGGACGAGGTGTGCCTGAAAGCTTATCTACAGCATGAAGTTGCCACCAACCGCAGCCATGAGGCCCCCAATGTTGATATGGCAACGCAGCCAACAGTTCAGCTGGATCCCGCGTCTGTATCTTCGGATCCCAAGCAGCGACAAGCTCAGCAGACGAAGCTTTCGGCCAAGTCCTGCAGCCCTTGAGCCGCTGAGGAGCTGCTCGTGCTGAAAATTGAAGGAGCACTTCTGGTTTTTGCGGCTGTTGCAGCTGAGTGCCCTCACATGATTCTTATCGGTCCTATGACTGTAGATGGCAGTTGTGCAGTAGCTTTGCTGTCACAATGCCAGGACTGTCAGTGCCAGAGACTGTGCAGGGCCTGCTTGGTGCTGACTTCTCGACTGTGCCACTGGCGACTGTGCATGAAAACGCGCGCGGTTCCATTGCCTGTCCGGCTTACACGTCCTGAATTTCCTTGTTCACTAGGAACAAACCAGAAGACGACCAGAAGGTAAAGCCAACCCCAAGCCACGAAGCTTTAAGACCACGATGCCGAAGTCCTTGACACGGAGTATCGCAAATACCGACAAAAAACGAAAGTGCACAATGCCAATCAAACTCTACCACCTGTGTAAATGCAGAATAACGCTTGTAGGGGAACACGCAGGTCTCCACCTACTTGCCTCCCCATCTCATTCTGTTTGTCTTTCTGTTCACCTGTTTGTCAGTGTCTCCCAATACCTGCACACAAACACAGATGCCACACTACACAGACACGCCGACACACATATACTCAGACATGTAATCGCATACACAGAAAGGCACACAGGTTCAAGGCGCATAGACACGCAGACACGGACAAAGAGACAGACAAAGATACAGACAGCCAGAGAGCCAGAGAGCCAGAGAGCCAGAGAGACAGACAGACAGACAGACAGACAGACGGACAGACAGACAGGCAGACAGACCGACAGGCAGGGATTGTGTTTGTTGTACGAGTGTCGGGGTCACTGTCCTGTTTCACTCCTCCAGACATGACTCGGACACAGGCATAGCATAGCGCTTGCGCGCAGGGGGCGGGGCCTTACGACCCCACCTCCAACCGCCCAGCAAGCAAGCAAGCAAGCAAGCCAGACAGACAACATTGGTCGTCAGCGTTTTCCGATCCGGTCCCGTTTGTTTTCCCGCTGATTGCAGTGCAGTCGCTCAAAGCGACCAACTGAGCTGGGCCCGACCGACAGATGTCACTGAACAGCGACTTGCATCGAGTACATGAGCGACGACCGCTCCGTAGCCTGGCGATCCCGGGATGATATCATCCTCACAAGCTACTGTGCAATCCCGAGTGCCTTGACAGTCGTTTCCAGAAGATGAAGCCTCCTCGGTACCAGAATTTTCGGGTGGTTTTGTGTGTTGATCCTGCACCGGTCTTGGATTTGGAATATCTCACGGTCACAGGCATTACGATCACTGTAGGTATCGTGTCCAACCTTGGTTTGTGTGTGGTGTCTTACAGAGTGTAAGGAGTCGCTGCCGTTGAGATTCCTGAGACCGAGCGTCCCATTGCCAGAGCGATTCTGCGGTTCACGTGGACATTGTCAGGAGGCTAGAGCGAGGATCGCTGCAGCAACAACTGTTCCAGCATCAACGCTAATTGCAGGGCCACGTGCAGGACCCACGAGCCTTTCGCCATCCTCTGCAGATCAGGCCAAGGTGCCATAGCCTTTGCCGCCAGGGGAATGGCGCACCATGATGGACCGCTACAGCACAAGGCTGTGACGGTCAACGGGGAACCGGTTATACTTCCCGGAACAGGAACTGCTCGGGGCTGAATCGGTCGTTGCGCGAGTGCTCTACGAACATCGCGCCAGCTACTTATATACAGCAGTTCAAAGTGTTTTTCGAGAAGGCCTCCTGGCCGTGTTTGTGCACAGCGTAGGGCCAACCGCAGGTGGAAGGAGGCTACCGGGGATGTCATGAACGACATCACGGCCTTGCAAGAGGCTTTGTTGCGTGAGCCCAACCCATCGTCGGCCAACAAGTGCAAGGTGCGAGTCCATGAGGATGCCCCGTCGGATCCCAACAAAGGCTCCCCTGCGAAGAAAGGCAATGGAAAAGGCTTCAAGAGCCAGGGACAAACGCGTTGAAGGGCAAGCAGTGGCCCATGATTGGACTCGGCCATGGCATGCCAGTCAGTCAATCTTGGCATGCCTACTCGCGCCACTAGGGACAGCGCGTAGGCCCGATCGGCTTTTCCACGCAGCGCATGAATAGTTTCATCGTCCCGAAGATGGCGACCCCGAGGTGCGGGCGAGGAGTCAAATATGGATGGCGATGGAGCGACGATGCTGACGAGTTCATCCCCAACCGCAACTTCTTCTGCTACTCTGGCCTGTCGGGACCTCGTCTTCGGGCAAACCGGCTTCGACTTCGGCTGCTCCGCCGCCACCTTTCTCGCTGCCGCCGCGAGCACACATCAAAAATGTCATCCTTCTTTCCACGTTTGATGGAAGGGGTTCGGCCACCCTTGCAGTCCAGCAGCTTGGGCTTCGAGCGCGGGCTCTTTTCGCATACAAGGTTGATGCACCTTCCGACCGAGTGTCCAAGTCTTTGTTTACAGGCCTTCGGTGAGCGCGAGGCGACTTGACGCAGGATGAAGCCATTGTCGTCGCCGGCCTGGTCAACTACTTCAGCAAGCAGCACAAGGCTTCGCCCGCGCTGCTGCGCGCATCCGAGTTCGGGGTCATGAGCAGACCTCGTCTCTTCTGGACGCGGGTGGACTTCGCCCAGCTCAAGACGAACCCGTTGCCGACAGGTCGCTGAGGTGGTCGCGAAAAGGCGGCTTCGCTAGATTGTTCATCGACCCACCGAAGGACTCGATTGCGAAGTTCCAGATGAAAGGCTTGACATTTCATGACAAGGCGAGCTCGGGCAAGCCTTGCAATGTGCCTGCCTCACCACTCCTGCCAATTCTGAGGCTGGCAGAGAAGCTCCACGTGGCATGAGAGGTCCTTCGGGCCCGGATGTCATGCGACGCTGGCCCGAAGCCAGCCGCCAGAACTGCAACCACGGCGATGGTTGTTGCACAGACAGGTAAGCAAATGACCCTCCCGGTGGAGATCAAAGAACAGTGTCACCGTTTTCCATCGGGGGCTACTCGTCACTCATCTGCGGAAAGATTTTGCCTCGTGATCGGCGTAAGATGCTTAGAAATTCTTGGCACATTGGTGGCGTGATCAAGTTTCTTCTGTGGCTTGTCTTGGCACGGATTTCCCGGCGGAGTCACATTCGGCTACACTCGCAGGAGATTGGACTGACCCAGTACTGCCTCGAATTTTCCATCAGGCGATTGCCGAGCCGCTTTCCTTGAGCCGCGAGGTGACTTTATCGAAGTTCTTGGCACTGTTTTTATCCGACAATGAATGGGAAGATTGGCCTGGACGAAAGCAGCTAGACTCTGCAAAACGGACTCGCAAACAAGCACGAATGCTGTCACCTCACCGATCGCACGCAGGCGATCGTACACGAGCTTGAGAGCTCCACAAACCTTAGGTTTGGCCAAAAGCGGATGTTCATCGTCGACTGGCGCGCAAATCCCGATGATTGGTTTCAGAGTCTGCTGTCACATGCTCAGTCTGCGCACAAGGCATCTGAGGACCAGGAGCGCGTACAAATCCCAGTTTTCTTGGAGTTGCTCCGGAGTCGCGGTTATCCAGCGGTGGACACACATCATGAGCGTCCGAGCTGTCCCTGGGCTTGGGCGCACACGGCCCACTCCCGGTTGGCTGTCTCGCGCCGGTCGCAAGTACAGCGCTCCCTTTCGTTTCGAAGCTTTTCGGCAGCTGAACGCAAACCATGTGGAGGAACTTCTGCAGCGCCGTCGTGTCGATGATGAATGGCAAACGCCTTGCTGTCGGAGGTCATCACTGAGGTTCGGGGCCTCTGAGGCTCTTCTGGATTGTCCCGATCAACAACCTTGCATTGCTTGGGCTTTCTCGGTGGTTCAGGAAGGCTCCGATGGCAAGCGTTACGTACGGCGATGCGAGGACTACCGCCCTAGCTTTCGCAATGATGCTATCAAGGCTTTCGGTGTTCCGCCTCACGACGACGTTGGAGTTTGTGTTTCCATGGTCAGGCATTTGCGCGCGAGTGGCGAGTTTGGCATGATGTGGGCACAGGACCTGCATTCTGCTTATCGGCAGTGTCCAATGGAATCCCCGAGTCATTGTTACATGGTCGTGATGACACCGTCTGGCCCTACGCTTTGGCGGCGTCGGGTCATGCCGTTTGGTGCCACCGCTAGCGTTTTCCACTTTAATAAAGTCACAGATGCTGTGTTGCGGTTGGCTAGGACTTTGCTGCTCATCCCTGCCACTCATTATGTAGACGGACCTAGGGAGTGTCGACCCAGCATCATCTGCTGATTCCAGCTTCAGGTCCTTTGATGCGTTCTGCGAAATTTTGGGTTTTCGTTTGAAGTCTTCTAAGAGGCAACCGCCGAAGAAGCTCCAGTAGATTGGCACGGATGGAGTTACTGTCGTGCCATTCGAATCTCGAGTGAACAAGCTGCAGGTCGCGCGTGGGTCTGCGTTTGAAGCCCAATCGTTTGACGCCGGGCGAGGCTGCACAGTTGGCGGGCAAGCCCGGTTTCTTGCGACATCACTCTGGGGTCCGGTTGGTTTGTCTCTGACCCGGCCTTTGCACGGGAGGGCCCAAGGGCCCAAAGATGGCACCAACGAGCTCAACTCAGGACTCAGAGCATGCACGCAGTGTCTGATGGTTCCTTTGTCATCTCCGATGCCTCGCTTCCTGCCTTTCGCGCAGTCCGGGGTTCCAGCTGCGGTGCTATATGCAGACGCTTTCTTCAAGCTTGTGGATCGTAAGTGGTCGGTGTCTGCGGATGATCTTCCCGCTCATTGGCCATCAAACATGCGTCTGGCAGAGAACGGCTGGGGCTTCACTTGCCGCAACACTGGTCGTGTGACGGCTGGGCACGGTCAGGTGCCGCCAGAAATTTTGCGTCTTTTCCGTGCTCGACGGTCTTATAAGTTTTTTTTGAGATTTTCTCTCAGGCCATCGCCAACAGTGTGAGTTTGTACCCATTTTGGGTCTGTTTCCGTGACAACAGGGCAGGTTGGAAGCACTTCGCAAAGGTTACGGTCGGGATCAGCGCATTAATCGTTTTCTTGGTTTCATGCACTGTGCATCAGGAAAAGATGGCACGGTCACTTCAAGTGGATGTCTAGCCAGCCTAATCTTTCTGATAAGGTCAGCCGGGGCGACTTGCGTCGAATCTGGGCGATCGTGCAGCGAGGTGCCAGTGATTCACCGGCTCGCAGAAGCATGCCGTGTCTTACGGAATGTAAGGAGTGGCGTGTGACCACAGCGAGTGCCTGCAGCTACTGCCACACAAGCTCCTTTCGAAATTTTACTCCTTCCTCACCCGCTC